TCATCTATTGAAGATGGTCTGAGCTGCACTGATTGGAGCTCACATGCCAACAATATATTAGGGAGAAGCTCTCACATATGCAATATACACTATCAACCGAACACCATCAAGGTCATTTGAGTATAAAACACCTCTTCAGTTACTTACAGATGCAGAGTAAGTCCTAAAATTGTTGAACTAACACATAGAGTTTTTGGTTGTATTGCTTATGTTCACTTACACAAGCATCAGAGAAGTAAGTTGTCTCCTAGAGCTGAAAGGTGTGTGTTCCTTGGCTATGCGGATCACCAGAAAGGATATCGGTGCTACAATCCACAAATCAAGCAAATGTTTACTACTATAGATGTAGTTTTTCATGAAACCTTGATATATTTTTCCCTCGAGTTTGAAATTCAGGGGGAGAATTATGATGAAGTTCAGACTTTTATTCCTCAAGAAATTGATATTGAGATCAGTTTGGAGAAAGAAAGTTACAAAGTTGTATCAGGAGATGATGAAAGTGTGCAACAATGTGATGATCAACAACCACATAATGAGGAAGATTTTAAGCATGTCGAGATCGAAATTTTGTCTGTTGATGCTGATGATATACTACACCAATCGTCCCCTCAAGAACCTAATACAGAAAAAATAATTCTGCCAGATCGTATCACTAGAGGTATCCCTAAGCCTACTTATGATCTTGACCTCACCAGTAAGACAAGATACCCTATGAGTAATTATATTTGTAACCAGAATTTGTCTAATTCAAATATCACATTTATAAGTAAATAATTTAAGTATCTATTCCTAACAGTATGTAGGAAACTTTAGCTGACTCTAGTGGAAGGATGCTATGAATGAGGAGATGAGATCCTTGCAAAGAAATAAAACATGGGAATTGGTAGATTGTCCAGTTGGAAAGAAACCAGTGGGATGCTGATGGGTGTATACTGTGAAATTTAATGCAGATGGCACAATTGAGAGATTCAAAGCTAACACTACTACAAATAAAGCTTTTAATTTTTTAAGAGAATTGTCATTGGCAAGATGCGAACTCAGTAGCTTAGAGTTGGAGGCTGATACTCCAACCACTAAACTACTAGAATTTTCTCGATAATAACTTACAAATAAATTATATTTATATACAAATAAATATATATCCGTGTAAATATATAAATATATAAATACAAATATATTTATATATTTTGATATATTTATATAGTTATATATTTATATATTTATATGTTGGATGTGAGGGCACACTCGAAAGTGAAAGTGTGTGTCGAGTGAGTTTTCAAAATTTGATGCTAAATTTGTGAGCAAATATCTTTATATGAGTTTTGTAATTTAATGACAGAATATAATCTTTATAATTTTATTTATATAATGATATAAAATAAATTTGGGGAACGCGTCATTCGCTCTCAAGCGAAAAATACCAATTTTCGCTCAAGCGAGGCTTGACCGAGTGAATTTCCGTGAGCTTTAACATATTTTCACTCAAGCGAGAGTCAATCCCACTTTCACCCTCGATCAAAAAATACCAATATAATTTATTTGTAAGTTATTATCAAAAAATTATAGTAGTTTAGTGGTTGTGATATTAACTTTCAACTCTAAAATATTGGGTTCAAATACTGTCGGTGACAATTCATTAACTTAAGTGAATTTTTGGTGAAAATAAAAATAAAAATACTTTCTAGAAAATATATACAAATAAATATATATTTACATGGATATATATTTATTTGTATATAAATATAATTTATTTGTAAGTTATTATCAGAAAGTTATAATAGTTTAGTGGTTAGAGTATTAGTTTTCAATTCTAAAATCCTGAGTTCGAATCCTGCCAATGACAATTTTCAAAGGGGTACACATAAGTATATGAAATAGATTACATTGAAACGTTTAAAAAATGTCTTCTTACACGGGGAATTGTCTAAAGAAGTTTATATGGAGCTACCAGAAGGATGTGAGATCCCGAATACACATAGTAAGAAAGTATGTAAGTTAAAGAAGTTATTATATGGACTAAAACAATCGCCACGAGCATGATTTGGTAGATTCACGAAGTCAATGCTTGGAAGAAGTTATTATATGGACTAAAACAATCGCCACGAGCATGATTTGGTAGATTCACGAAGTCAATGCTTGGTTTTGGATATCAACAGAGCAACCAATATCATACCTTGTTTCTAAAGAAAAAAGAAGGAAAGATTACAATTCTTATTGTCTATGTTGATGACATGATAGTTACGGGAAATGATCTAGAGGAATGCAAGACATTAAAAGAGTACTTGACAAAGGAATTCGATAAAGAAAAAAGAAGGAAAGATTACAATTCTTATTGTCTATGTTGATGACATGATAGTTACGGGAAATGATCTAGAGGAATGCAAGACATTAAAAGAGTACTTGGCAAAGGAATTCGAGATGAAGGATCTTGGTCCTTTGAAGTATTTTCTTGGAATTAAGCTCTCAAGATCAAAGTCAAGTATTTTCCTGTCACAACAAAAGTATGCATTAAATTTACTAAAAGAAACTGGAATGACAACATGCAAACCAGTAAATTCTCCAATTGAAGGGGGATTGGAGTTGTGCATTGGAGAAGATCAAACTCCAACTAACAAGGGAAGATATCAGAGACTTGTAGGGAGATTGATGTATCTCTCACATATCATGCCAGATTTAGCTTATGCTCTTAGTGTGGTTAGCCAGTTCATGCACAATCCAGGTGAAAAACACATGGATACTGTTATACGAATTTTAAGGTACATAAAAGCTGCTCCTGGAAAATGAGTTATGTTCAAGAAGAACTCCAACTACAAGGATGTGATGGTTTATACCAATGCAGATTGGGCAGGTGCTCTTGACGATAGAAGATCAACCTTTGGATATTTTACATTTGTAGGAGGTAATCTTGTCACATGGAAAAACAAGAAGCAGAAAGTTGTAACTAAATCCAGTGTAGAAGATGAACTTAGAAGAATGGTTCTTGGACTTTGTGAAGGTTTGTGGCTCAGACTACTTCTCAAAGATTTAGGGTATGCATATACACGTCTCATTCAGTTGTATTGTGATAATAAAGTTGCGCGCGATATTGCTCACAACCCTGTCCAACATGATCGGATGAAGCATGTGTAGTTTGATAGATTTTTCATCAAGAAAAAGCTTGATAAAAATATTCTAGAATTGCCAAATATTCGATCTGAAGATCAGCTGACAAACATTCTTACTAAAGCTGTGACAAGTTAAATTTTTAGGAGATTATTGCACAAGTTGAGAATGTATGACACTCATTTACTAACTTGAGGGGGTGTATTGGAATAAAGATATTTGATTAGCTAAATTATAGGTTTGTATAATAGTACAAAATATTGTATAATTAGAATTTTCTTTATTTAATCCTGATTTGTTAGAATAAAATAATATAAGTTCATATATCTATGCTGCAAAATAATATGAATAAAATTATAAAATAAGTTTTATGTTTTTGAATTATATGTATACTTAACATTCTGAAGAGAAAAATCTTGATAGAAATGAATTTATATAATCGACAAAAGGAAAGATAGATTTATAGGAATGAAAAATAGATTTTTCTTGAGTTTAGATGTTAAAACTTTCTCTATTCTCTTAAAATGTTTGAGATCTTTTCCAGGCGATTGCAAAGCTAGGGCCATGTCCAACATTTGTCTGAAGAATCACAGTCAGGAACTGTTTTCTGCGCCGAGACCTTGAAGAACAGTAAGGAAAGTACAAAATAGAATATAAGCAATGCAAAAGAAGGGGAAAACCATAATGATGGGATCATATACTGGTTCGTACAGTTAGTGTGAAAAATTCTTAAACTATTTGTTAAGTAACTTAAAATCCTAATTGGTTTTTGCTTTACCTTCAGCAGGTTGTCATTTCTTTTTGTTACGTACAGTTCAGAAATATTTTGGAGTAGTTTTCTTCCCCCTTTCCTTATTCATTGGTTTTTCTACTTCCTTTCTCTTACCACCCTTCTCAAGTTATCTAGGATTCTAAACAAGTTTCAACTAACAGATGTGTATATATAGTAGTAGCTGCTGTAGTTTCCGAATGTATTATTACTCGGGGCTGTTACAAGATACCGATGCATATGCAACATTCTTGCATTGCCTTCAGAGGGAGATAAGGCCAGAAACAGATTCGGAAGAAACAAAAGTTCAGCAAACTCACATAAGAGCTCACATACATACGGGTCTACATTTTCTTGTTTCTTTTTTCTAGTTTCCTTAATCAGTTTTTTAGAATATATTTTATCATAAATTTAGTACCAATAATGGGGAGCTGAAATTGAAAAAAAAAAAAAAAAAAGGTTTGGGGGGGCTGCTGATTTAATTTTCAGAACTTATTTTCTGTACATGTTGTTTGGTTGATGTTCAGCATCTCATTGAGACACAGAATCTAATAAAATCATTCACGCAAAATCGAAATTATGGATGGCATTAGCATAAAGTGAAGACTTAACTTATAAATGGCTAAACTATTTATTCCCATTTCTCTTATATTTCTTTGCCTTATCGTTTGGTCTTGCAAAATTTCTTTCCTTCTTTGCTTGAAGTTTGGATATGATTACACCCTCATTTAGTGCCTCGTGCCATACATATATTACAGACAAGCATGTGCATGTTGCATCTTCAATTTCATACTTATTTTCTTAATAAAACATGTATAATATATATTTTCTTACTACTTGCGTGCATATGTGATTTAATGATGATTTTCATGACATGAAATGTTTTTTTTTTTCTAGAGAAGAGATTAGTACAACAAATTTTGTAGTTAAAATAAAGAAAAGAGAAATTTATGAAATGTAATGAGTAATATCTTTTAAAGGATCTCAAAAAATATGGGTATAATTATTGTATGAATAACACAACTTCTCTTTTTTACTTCCACAGTGGATTTGGTCAAGATAAAGAACATTTCTCTGCTATCTTTTAATGGAAACAAGCACTGACAAAACCAGGGAGAAGTTAACAAATATGGACCAGAACCCTGTTTCAGCTAAGACACAAGAAAATAAAGATCTTGTATCATCGATCAAAGAGAAGCTTGAAGCGGTTTCAACTTTGAAATCCATCTTCAGAGTCCCCGAGAAACTCGTAGAAGCAAATGAGAAGATGTACATCCCTGGCACAGTTTCTATTGGTCCTCTCCATCATGGCAAGGATGGTCTAAAATACATGGAAGATCGCAAGTGGCATTACCTGTTCACACTGCTGAATCGACAATCAAACCAGCTAGAAACAAGTTTGCACGAATGTGTGAATGCACTGAGCGATTTAGAGAAGCCAGCACGAAATTTCTATGCAGAAGAACTCAACCTCAGAAGCAACCAGTTCATGGAGATAATGCTAGTTGATGGGTGTTTCATCATTGAGCTTCTCTTGAAATATGCTTTAAAGGGTATAAGACGTTGCGGTGACCCCATATTTGTCACGCCAGGGATGCTCAATAGGGTCAGGTGTGACCTTATATTGTTAGAAAACCAAATACCATTTTTCATTCTTCAAAGGTTGTTCCCAATTGTACTCATTCAAGTACAACATGACCAGACACTGACCCTCTCTGAGCTTACCATTATTTTCTTCAGAAAAATGTTGCCGAGGGATAGGGAATTTGTGAATGAGAAGTTTAGTCAAGAGGGTTTCCATTTGCTTGACCTAATTCGCCAGTGTTACCTTCCAAACTATGCAAGAGTAGTGTCCAAGAAAAGTGTATCTCAAGGTGATCTTGAGTGTGCAACAAACCTCAAGAAGGATGGGATTAAGTCCAAGAGATCCAAAACCAAGTGCTTGCTAAACTTGAAATTTGCAAATGGGGTGCTTGAAGTTCCTCCCTTCACACCCCATCATTTCATAGAAATTATATTTTCCAATATGATAGCATTGGAGCAGCAGCAGAATGATAGTAAACCTGTGACATCTTACGCCCTTCTAATGCAAGCCATGGTGTGCACTGAAAATGATGCCAAGTTGTTCCGCAAACTAAGGATTCTGATCATGGATAATTACCCTGAGAAAGAAGTTTGTGATCTGTTTAAGAGGCTTTGCGAAAAAGTGGAATATGAGGAGGAAAATTTCTTTTTTGCAGGGCTAATTGAACAAATTTTTGAGTACAAAAGAACCCCGAGATCATGGAGGCAGATATTGAAATGCAATTGGCTTAAAACTCGTACTTCATGAATCACATGATGCAAATTTGGAGTACGTTGGTTGTTCACTTGCATACATCAATATGTTCCATTATATCTTGGTGTGCTCAAGCATCTGTCTTTACAGTGTCCAGTACTGATAATAATGTCTTTTGAGGTTTTCAAAGAGATGCCTAAAATTAAATAAACACAGTATATTCTCTTTAAAGAGTATTATTATTTTACTATAAACGAAAACAAAATATACCTGAAAGTAGAGACACGTTTAACTAGATTTTAAACAAATGTATAAAGAACCAGAGTTAATATCATTTGTAATTGTAAGCAAACGCACTAAATTTACTTAGCACTTCCACGTCCCATTTGCTAAGTATTTTTTGTAATAATTTTTTTATTTAAATTTTGAAAAAAATTATTGCTAAGTATTTATTTTTGCAGGCTTTTCCCCGATGGAGAAGAAATGCATCAGAACCAAGAGATGTAGGTTCGTTCTTTCAGCTAAGAAGGAAAACGGAGAAAGAGGAGCCCCGAAAAAACCCTTTTTGTCTTCCTCTTTCTCACCACCACCCTTCCAAGATACTCAAGATTCATGACGTTTTCCACATAATGTTAATGTTCTGTTTATAAAAGAACTGCTAAATCATTTTCTTAAACATGAATAATGGTCATTGTGAAAAGTCCTGTGCTCAATTTCTCTAGGGTATTCAATCAGTTAAGCTGTCAGTACACCTTGTCCTTGTCCACACCATACATTTCAACTTATGCTTCACCATAGGTTATATATAATTATAAAAGTAAGTTTCTTACAATATTTCTTGATTAATACAAATATTATTTTAATATGAAATTAGGATAATCATAAGCAAACAATAAAGCATCATAACTTTATATTTGTATTACAATAGTTACAAGACATACCTACAAATGATGAAAGATAATAAAATATCATTTCAATAGAGAAATGGTAGTCTTTCCTATAAACTACCATCGGGCCAAGAATCTTGATATTTAAGCCAACATGAGCAAAGAATTCATCTATGATTCACCCATGAAAACAGCACCGTGTTCTGTGGATTTAATGAACTTCTTCAGCAAAAGAACCACAATTGCTACAGTAAGTCCAATAGCAGCCAGTGTGAACAATCGATCGTCGGGTTTTTGAGCCCTTGTCTCTGGTTTCAGAATTTGAACCCTTGCATCTGACTTTTGGAGTACCTGGTTAATTGAGACACTAGATGTATTCTCCATTGAAACATCAACTCCTGCAGGGTTAGGAATAGCATTGACAGGGTGTTCTTGTTCTTCAACGATTCCGTCACCTGCTTCATCTGGATTCCCCTCTCCTTCAGGTAAAGGCTCTGGATTTTGCAAATTCACCAGGGCCTCAGCCTCCTCTGTGTTGGATTGTTCTTCAGAAACTTGTGAGGGGCCACATTCTGGAACAGGGGATGACTTGCTGAGCATATACTCGTGTATCTGGGATAGAAGTGTTCAATCAGTATAAGATATTACAGAAAGTATGCAAACAGGAAAAGACAACAAGCAACGTTTTACCTAGTACAATCAGCATAAAATATCACAGCAAAATATGCACTGGACAGTAAACAATGAACAACGTTTTACCTCATCAAATAGTCTTTGGCGTTCAGGAGTCCCAAATTTTGGAGGTGCTTCACGGGATTTAATGGCCAAGGCACGCCTGTCTTCTTTCTTGTAGTTCAATGAGCCCAGCGCGCCATTTGGGTTGGAGGGCATGAATGCAATCAGTGCAACTAGAGCAGTCCTCACTGTCAACATAAACTCAGTGAGAACTTTCTTCAATCTAAAGCAAAGAATGAAGCTTCAAAAATTCAATAGTCTTTAACAAGAATCACAAGATATCTTGTAGTTGATGGGGAAAGTGAAGCAAAGTTTTGTTCCCTCCCTCATTTTCCGTTTCTGGAGAAACTTTAGGACAAACAAACAAACTATAGTTTTGCATAGCCTGCGAGTTAAGAGGGAGACGAAATAGTATTTACCACTCCATGATGGTTGCCAATGCTCAGGGTGATGATTTGATATGCTCAAGCAAATCTTGGTTTGGGTCTCAAAACGGCCACTAGGCTGAAATTATAAAAGTGTGAAATTGAGCTTACTCTCATCAAATCAAATCAAACCAAAGAAATTCAGATAAACAATTTAACAAAAGAATCAACTAAGTCCAAAGGGACACAAACATCATACTGTCAACAACATAAAAGAAGGAGGCTTGAAGGGATATTCTGAAGGTAACTGAATCCGTCCATGATAAATACCACCCTCAAATTCTGTGTCACGAGGCCCCCTAATCGCAAATTGCCATTCAAATATATTTTCCTGAAATAAAACACAAAACTGAAGTTGCTCAGAAAAGGCATTATGAAATAATCTTAATCTTCTTGGTAATCTATTTTGTTGCACAAGTTGATTTTTGGCTATGGAAAAACTTTATTTGTTTTCTAAATATGTTTTCCTCATAAAGTATTTATGAAAACATTTATGCATACAATTTTTTTTTTATAGAGTCCCTCCCGAATCATTACTCTTTAATATCTTCAAAAAGGACCACAGGCTTAATTGTTCCCAATTTTTTAATATCCAAAAAATAAAAATTGTTCACAATCACAAAACCAATCTTTCTAACAACTTATTTAATTAAATTGCAACTGGCAGCAAAATGACCGAGTCCCGCAGTTAAAAAATTTGTTCAATTGAAGACAGACAAGTAGAGATCAGGCGATGGAAAACCCTAAGTGTAATAGAAGAAAAGCGAAACAAATGAAAAAATTTGAAAATGGAAGAAGAGAACCTCGAGAGGGAGACTGATGTAGTCTTCGGAAAGGTTTGATTGCATCTCTTTGACCTCTTGGAGAATCCGTTTGACGGCTGGATTCTTGAGGTTGAGTTTGTCTGCCATGGCGTGCACCCAATTCTTCTGTGGTAACCCCCAACCACAATAAAAGCCACTACTATAGGTAATGTATGTATATGGTCTATTGTGTGTTGTGTGGTTTCTTTCTTGTGATTACGAAGAGAAAATATCAGAATAGATATTACATCGGAGAAAGTTTAGAATAATATGGTTGGCTCCTTCGGACACGTCATGCTTCTGTGTTTTTATTACGTGGCTTTCTTTCATTGGACACAATAGATCTGACGTGTGCTTCCTTTTGACTTGGTGTATTTTTATATTATTTTATTTTTTATATCAAAAGTAAAACGCTGTATGAACAAATAAATAATAATATATATATATATATATATATATATATATATATATATGGGATTAAGAGAGTTATATGATTAATCTCTTTAAAAATATTTTTTTAATATTAATTTGGTATCATAACGAGTTAATTTTACTTTATTAGTCTTAGTCGTCATCGATAGTTGTTATCGTTTGTTGTATCTCTTATTGTTACTTCTGAAAAATTAAATAAAAAAAAATGATCTCTTTTTGTATGTTTTTATTGAAACGTTGTTCCTTGTCCAAGTCTTAATGACTATTTTGAAAAAGATACAAGTACAATGACTGCTAAACAATGAAAGAAAACTTGTAACTTTGAAAAAATACTTAAAATTTAAACTCTCTGTACTATTGTGAAAGTATGTGGAACCCAAATTATTTGGTACTTTTAGATCATTTAAAACTTGTAACTCTGTTTGAAAAAAATACTCAGAGTATCTTTACAAATGATATTTAGTGCTTGTATGATTCTGCAAATAGACTTGCCTCCTTTCAACAATTTGATCGATATGATATCTTTCATGAATGAAGTTCAATCTGTTGTTGAAGAGTTAAAAATGTTCTTAGAAGTGAAGTCATTATTGTAAAAGCTGACAGAGATACGAACATTGCCCTTAAGGACTTATCCGCGGTGTATTGCGCAAGTCCCCCAGGATACAACAGGAACTTCTCGGAATATCCGAGGATCTCAGAAACTAGCAAGAAACTCTCAAAAGAGTAAATTAACCCAGGAACACAAGAAAAGATCAGAGAAGAGAAGATGAGAGAGGTGTGCCTGAAGAGTGTGAAATGGTCTCTATTTATAAGAGAAAGTCTGTAACAGTTATGGAAGACTTGGTAGTGGGTCTGTAACGTTTCCTGTAACGTTCTCAGAAACGGTCTTCTGCAACGTGTGCTCTGAAACAGTCTTCTGTAACGTGTGCTCTGTTTTGCAATACCCCTTAATTTACAACAATCCCCCACATATTGCAAAACAAAAGGGGATAAAAGAAATAAAAGAAGAAAATACTTGGGTCTCATATAAGATGTAATGCATCGAAGTCTGGTATAGCAAGCTATATGAACCAGTCTTAGACTAAAAACTTAACACACGAGTGTAGTTGGTGTAGCAAGCTATATGAACCAAAACACTTAATGTGTGTTAGCGGTTTTAATAATCACAATACACCCCCACAATTCTTCCTGTTATCGTCGTGTTGCGCTTACTAGGCCATGCGCGTGCCGGTATTCATGAGTGCTCTAGAAATCTTGCAAAGATCTCATACAAGCGGCCCCACTCGACACTCATATAGGTGACTTCATCAAGCGTATGCTTGCAAATCATACACCACCCTTAAGGGATATGAAATCGTTTAAAAACTTTGTTTAGACTAAAATTCGTACTCCACATAGAATTTTAATTACAAAGTTTAACCTCTCAATAATGCGATATCTAGCACTTTCACATATACACCATAGGAATGGACATAATTGATTTTAATCAATTTTAGTGCTAACGAGAACTAACAAGTGACTTGTTTTTACCCATATGAACCTTATTCATGGGATCTCCAATCACAAAGGTTGGGTTACCATCACCTGTTTGTTTGCAAGTTGCTTAAGGCCCATTCCCCTCGATGTTTCTAAAATCATATTTCTCGCTAAGGGTTTTGTCAGAGGATCTGCTAGATTCCGTTCTGACTTCACATAGTCAATGGAGATTGTTCCATTCTTTAGCAGCTGCTTCACTAAATTATGTCTCAACTGTATATGTCTGTTTTTTCCATTGTAGTTCTTATTTTTTGCTATAGCTATTGTCGATTGACAATCACAGTGTATTGATACCGATGGGATTGGTTTCATTCCTAATGGAATGTTTACTAAGAAGTTTTTCAACTACTCAACTTCACTACCAGCCATTTCGAGAGCAACAAATTCAGATTTCATTGTTGATCTTGCAATAATTGTTTGCCTGGCTGATTTCCATGTAATCGCACCACCCCGAGTGTGAATACATAGCCACTAGTGGATTTTGTCTCATCTGAATCAGAAATCCAGTTAGCATCACTTTATCCTTCTAGTACAACGGGAAATCCACTATATTCAATGGCATAATCCATTGAACCTCTTAAGTATCTCATAAGTCTTGTAAGTGCATTCCAATGTTCTTGATTAGGACATTTAGTGTACCTACTCAGTCTACCTACTGCATAAGCAATGTCAGGTCTAGAAAAGCTCATTAAATGCAGTAAGCTCCCAATTACCTGGGCATACTGAGGTTGAGAGATTGAGTCTCCTCTATTTTTCTTTAATTTAGAGTTAGCATCATAAGGGGTATTCACTGGTTTGGCGTTATAACACCCAAACTTCCTAAGAAGTTTCTCAATATATTGTTCTTGGGATAGAAAAATACTATCGCCCTTCCTTATGATTTTAACTCCCAAAATCACATTGGCTTCACCCATATCTTTCATTTCAAATTTAGATCCCAGAAACAACTTAGTTCGGGAGACAATGTCAATGCATGTATCAAATATTAGCATATCATCTACATATAAACATATAATGACACATTCATCACTCTCAAATTTAGAGTGCACACATTTATCAGCATCATTAGTTGAAAAACCATTACAAAGTAGAACACTATCAAGTTTTTCATGTCATTGTTTTGGTGCTTGTTTTAATCCATATAAAGATTTTAAAAGTCTACACACTTTGTTCTCTTGACATGGAACAACACACCCTTCAGGTTGAGTCATATAAATTTCCTCCTCTAATTCACCATTCAAAAAGGCTGTCTTAACATCAATTTGGTGTATAACTAGTTTATGGATAGCTGCTAGAGCTAACAAAACTCGAATAGAGGAAATCCTAGTCACAGGGCAAAGGTGTCAAAATAATCAATGTTGGATTTTTGAGTAAAACCCTTTGCTACTAATCTTGCCTTATATTTATCTATGGATCCATCAGAATGATACTTTTTCTTAAAGATCCACTGATTTCATACAGTCTCAACCCTTTCTTACAAGTATGTACAAAATAATATGGGGACAAAATAATATTCTACTTATACGTATAAGTATGTACAAAATATTATGTGGACAAAATAATATGTAGATCTAAGTCATACATTGTATACATGTAATTGCTAATTATTCACAAACAAAATCTCTCATAACATATAATAATTTTGCATAATTTCTCCCATAACATAAAATAATTATGCATGATGCATTTTTCATTTTCTCTGTTGTATTGGTGTAATAAATCCGAAAAGGAACATGTGTTTGACACGTGTGCTCTATGGACAAGCTGCATGATGTATGCTGATAGTATTTGATATAAAATTTTACCTTTCTTTCATCATAATTATAACATGCAGTAATCAATTTCATATATAATTCACCGTTAACCCAATCACGTAATAACATACATCAATCATAATCATATAATAACATACATGAATTGATTCTCACATAATAACATACATGAATCATAATCATATAATAACATACATGAATTGATTCTCACATAATAACACACATAAATCATAATCGGAAACTAACCTTGATCCATGAACACTTCATAATTCCTTTTCTTTCACTATCCAATATTCTAAAACTGTTGAAGGAAGTTGTTGATGTTTGTATTGTCAGCCATAAGTCCTTAAGATTGTTGTAAAAGCTGACAGAGACACGAGCAAACTTTATTCCTGAGGCGTGTATAATCACTGTCCTTAAGGACTTATCCGCGGTGTATTGTGCAAGTCCCCCAGGATACAACAGGAACTTCTCGGAATATCCGATGATCTCAGAAACTAGCAAGAAACTCTCAAAAGAGTAAATTAACCCAGGAACACAGAAAAAGATCAGAGAAGAGAAGATGAGAGAGGTGTGTCCTGAAGAGTGTGAAGTGGTCTCTATTTATAAGAGAAAGTCTGTAACAGTTATGGAAGACTTGGTAGTGGGTCTGTAACGTTTCCTGTAACGTTCTCTGTAACGTTCTCTAAAACGTTCTCTAAAACGGTCTTCTGCAACGTGTGCTCTGAAACAGTCTTCTATAACGTGTGCTCTGTTTTGCAATACCCCTTAATTTACAACAATCATTACAAGAAAATGAAGAAGAAATTAGATAAATTTTATATGGTGATGATACTCCGGACCATGCCTATTGACTTCGAATATGTTAGAGATAAATTGTTAATAGGGCATGAAGTTCCATCTATGGAAAGTCTGACCGCTCATCTTCTTCTGTCATGGTTTCACATGTGGAAAAGGAGAACACCATGCTAGAGGAGGACGTGACAGTCGAGGTCGTCCTAAATGCTCATATTGTAAAAGAATGAATTATGTTCAAGAGAATTGTTTCATTTTGCATGGTTTTCCTTTCAAGTTTGTCCATATCTCTAAAACTGATGCTGCTGAACCAAAATTTTCTGGTGAAGAATGTTAAGAGTATTTAAGGTTGAAATCCAATAGCTTGATACAATCATCTACAACTTTCAGTTTGTCGACAACTTGCATCTCGCAATCTGTAGAAACTCAAAATTTATGAATCATTGACTCAGGTGCATCTGATCAATTTTCTAGTAATACATCATTGTTCTCATCTCTATCTATCCTTTTCGAAAATTCATCATTTCATAACTTTAACTAATGATTCTAAAGTTGCATCCTAAGGAGTCAGTCAAGTCTATTTTTCTCCTTCCTTAAATTTAAAATCTGTTATTTTTGTTCCTTTTTATCCCTTCAATCTTATTTCATGAAGTCAATTAATCAAGTTCTTTAATTGTTCAATAAGTTTTAATGCTGATTCTTTTATCAGATAGGAACGTGGTACAAGACGTTGGATTTGAGAAGGACATAAATATAAAAGTTTATATTATTTTGGAGCTAAGTCACAGGTGTCCTGTTTTGCATTTCCAAAACTATAACGTGATAGGTTGGGTCATTCCCAATTATCAAAATTAAAAAAATGAGTCCCTGAAATTGGTAGTATTCAAACTTTAGAATGTGAGTCATGCCAACTAGGAAAATATGTCAGGGCTTATTTTTCAAAGTAAGATGTAATTCTGTTTTCTCTATTATCCATTTAGATATTTAGGGTCCAAACCGTGTCTCATCTTTTGGGTTTAAGTATTTTGTCACATCTATTAATGAATATTTCAGGTGTACTTGGCTGTATTTGATAAAAGATCGTTCTAAATTGTTATCCATCTTTACGTCCTTTTTAAATGAAGTTAAAATTCAATTTGGTAAAGTGATTAAAATTCTCTGAAGTGATAATGCTAAATGGTACTTCTCTTATAATTTCTCTACACTTTTAAGTTCATATGACATTTTACATTAATTTACTTGTCCTCACACTCCTCAGAAAAATGATATTATTGAAAGAAAAAATAGACACTTGATTGAGATTGACCGTACCTCACTTACATGTTCATTATTGGGGAGATATTATCCTAACTACGTTTTTTTATTAATAGAATGTCATTCTCTTCTCTTAGCAATAAGATCCCATATTTTATTCTTTTCCCAAATGACTCTCTCTTTCATGTTTCTTCTAGTGTATTTGGTTGTGTATGTGTTTGTTCATTACATGTCTCCCATATTAGAAAAACTATATGTCCGTGTTGTTAAAAGTATATTTTTGGACTATTCTAGGCTTCAAAAAGGATATCAATGTTATTCTCCTGAAACCAATAAGTACTACGTGTTTTCTAGTGTCACATTCTTTAAACAGATTCCTTACTTTTTCTTCATCTGTTCTAGATATCCTTCCATCCAGGAGATCTTACCTATGCCTGCAATTGAGTCCATTGTTCCTAGTGCATCTAACAATCCAAATCTTGATCCAACTGATCCTGAACCATCATCACCTCTTGCACCTAGCCCATGCTCCAAGATCATTCATCTTCTTCAAGTTCTTCTTAATCAGTAATCTATACCATGACTCCTTATGCTGATGATTTAGCCTGACCCATTACCATAAAAAAATGTACTCGTTCTACATGCAACTCTCATTCTATTTAAATTTTTTTGAGTTATCATAGGGTGTCTCTTTCCTATTTTTCTTTTTTTTATCTTATCTTCTATTTCTATTCCAAAAAATATGATTGAAACACTCAATCATCCTGGAAGACGACAAAGTATGATTGTCAAGATACAAACTATTAACAAGAATCACACATGAGAGTTAGTATCTTTTTCACCTAAGAAGAAGACAGTTAAATGTCAATGAATTTATGTTATTAAAATTTGTCCAAAAGTGAGATTGATCGTCCAAGATACGATTAGTTACAAACGGTACACATATATTTATAACCCTAACTACAAGTATACTTTTACCCCAATTAACAAAATAACTACTACTAATACGTATTAATTCTCACGTGGAATATTTCTAACAGTAGTAATTCTAACAAATCTCTTTTAAAAATATTTATATACATAAGTACACATGGATTTGTACGAAATAAAATTTATTGAATAATAAATTAAAACTTACAATTATATCAAATTTTGTAACTTATGATTTTAGCATCTGTAGTATAGGAGCTGCTACACTGTATTTAGCTTCATAAAAAAAAAAATAAAAAAAATCACTGATGATGATCTACTTAACTTGCATAAATGTGCCTAGTAAAAAATATTATTACAGTATCGCAAAAAGAAGAAAAATTGTCATCAAATAGCAACTTCACCCATAACTTAAGGATCAAGCAAAATATGGGCTGGTTGGTAAGGTCAAGTTGACGTTGAAATATAGTGCCCCAATTTAGTGGGACATGTGAAACATTGATATGAAAATTATTAAGTCTATTTAGTTTGTTATTATTTAAAATATATATATATATATATATATATATATATATATATTTAAATAGAAATAAAAAAAAGATAGTCCATAATTTATAGTGTTTTTAGTTCTTGAAAATCTTATTTAACATTTAATGTTTATAAACAATATTTACATGCTTCTATAATGTTAGTTCTAAGTTTATAATTTATAATATTTGTTTATTTTATACTAAACTTTTATTATATTGATATTTTACTTTTTAAAATAGGATTGGTATTGTATTACATATGATATATAAATTAACATGAAAAAGTATTATGTTTAGTTAGTTAGACAATTTTGTTTCAAACTTAATTTAAAATATTTTAAGTTATTGTATAAGATTAAAATATAACATAAAAAATACTAACAATAAATAATATTATCTAAATAATTTAATTTAAATAACTTAAAAGTTTTTAAAACTAATTTAAAAAAACTTAAGTTATAAATATCCCAACATATATCCATGAGTTTTCAACTTTGAAATAATTTTCTAATTAGTTTTGTGAAAAAAAAATGAAAATATTTTACCTGTCTTGATACCTACCTGAATTTGTGTGGAAAGTACTAGTTTGGCAAGTGTTGGGCACTTGTAAGGGCCTTAGCCCATCAACATTGCCAAATGTTCTTCTGCATGCGCTTCCTCTTCCTTTGAACCCACGTTGCACCCACACTAATCACACCGCTTCCTAATTTCATCTCCATTCATTACTCTCTTTATTCAGTATTTATTCATAAGTATACTTTTCAGCAAAATTTCTTACATTAAAAAAATAATTAATTCAAAGATCCATGTGTTTTTTTTTCAAAATACTTTTCTATAATATTAATACAAAACTCTAATCTCAATATACACTATATTCCTCTGTTTGGGGAATTTGTTGATGTATTTTTTTTAACTATTAAATTAATTTTGATTTAACATTATATTATTATTCTTTTAAATTTGTTGGTAGCTTATAAATTCGAGTTGGTAGTGAAACAAGAACAGCGACAACTAGCAAGAAATGGATAAGATGGAGGGAAAAACAAGAGGCGAGGAGAGGAAGATCGGTGTGATTGAGACATGGTCGAGGAAGCATCGTCTTCTCTTCGACGGAGTCACAAGACACCCTCTTGTTCTTAGCATTCGCGATGGTTCCATCAACATTGCTTCCTTCAAAAAGTGGCTGGTTAATTATACTTCACCCTTTTCCCTTACTTTGTGTTTTTTTTTTTTTTTTTTTAATTTGAAGTTATAAATGTAAGTTGTTTTGCCAGATTATTTATTTATGAATTATATGGTTCAGGTTCCATCACATTATAGTATCTAGTGTCATTTTGGGTCGCCCTGTCAAGATTTAACGAATGTTTGCAATTTATGGGAAGTCACTATTTTGTGCATATATAATGAACTCCGAATCTCCTTACCTAGCTTTTAATAAATTTTAATTAATGACAAAGTTTGTGTTGGAAGAAGTTTGTTTGTTCATAATTGTTGCATTCTTGTTATGCAGGCACAGGATTACTTGTTCGTTCGGGCGTTTGTCCCATTTGTGGCCAGTGTGCTGATAAAAGCTTGGAAGGAATCAGATGAGAGTGGTGACATGGAAATCATATTGGGGGGCGTGGCTTCACTGGAGAATGAAATAGCATGGTTTAAGAGAGAAGCTAGCAAGTGGGGTGTATCACTTTCTGAAGTTGTTCCTCAGCAAGCAAACAAGAAATACTGTGGGTAGGTTTGTTAATCATCGTCATCGTATTCAACTCATTTTTTGATCAATATTGTAGAGAATAAGGTATCTTCCATAGGAGATGGTTACCTAGGATTAGTAGGGTAGACTATTGTTTGTAGGCAACACAATTTCTTTAGTGTTCTAAAATTATTTGTGAACCTTATATGATAGGAGAATATATTGAATTGAGTAACTAGTTTTAGTATCTGAATCAGATAGTACTGATTGATTTATGTTGAATCTTTTTATTATGCCAAGTTTCATTAACTATAGACTATTGGCCCCAGTTAATTTTACGGGTTAGATCCTTTCAAGGGTGTCCTCTAATGCAATGAAACAAAACCCCCATAGCAGCCCTAGATTCATCTAGGGATAGCAAAACGGCCAACATCCAGGATGGCGCTGAAAATCCCTCTCCACTTCTATTTTTTAGTTTTCTTTTTTTCTTTTTCTACAGCCAAAGAGCCCGGCCAGTAACAATCTGGCTCTTTGGATGGTAAGATTGTATTATACCCGCTATAATAAAAAAAAAAAATATATATATATATATATATTAAATTATTGATAATTATAATTTTATCATTAAATTTATTAAAAAATTTAATTTAAAAAATAAAATATTAAATTTATTAAAAAAATTTAATTTAAAAAATAAAATAAGAAATACGACCGAGTTTTGATCCTTCATTCATGATATCATGTACTGAGAAGTCAAGGGGAGGAAGCACATTCAAGAAAAATCATTTGCTACTTTTGTCTACGAAGGTTGTTTGAATTGTAACATGCACACTGTGACAGGTTGCTGGAAAGTCTAATGAATCCAGAAGTGGGATATACTGTGGCTATTACAGCATTTTGGGCTATTGAAGCAGTGTATCAAGAGAGCTTTGCCCACTGCATTGAGGAAGGTTCCAAACCTCCGCCAGAACTGAAGGAGACTTGTGAAAGGTGGGGCAATGAGGCTTTTGCCAAGTATTGCCAATCCCTGCAAAACATTGCCAATCGGCGCTTACAAAAGGCTTCTGACGAAGAACTCAAAAAGACTGAAGTTATGTTACTAAATGTTCTTGAACACGAAGTTGATTTCTGGAACATGAGCCAGGGAAATGTCTGATTTTGTTCAAGAAGCCTACATAGTATGCAAATGGTGAAATATACTCCAAATGTTGTTTGTTAAACTCCTAGAAAAATAGTGTAAAGGAATGCTACTCAGCAAAATCTCAAGCATATATAGATATAACACGAGTTTGGAATACCTTATATTCCGCCCAAGTTTATCCTCCATTTATCTTCAGAGAAAAGAAAAGAAAGCTTTGTTTCTGAAATCTGAAGTTTGAAACCCATTACTAAAGAAAAAACCAACTTAATTTTTAAGATTGGGTTAGGAAATTCTGAAGTTGCATCTTTTGTTCTACTCGATTTCTGTAGTTTCTATCGGAAGACTTTCATAGCAATTTAGTAGTAAAAAATAATAGGTTTATAGGATGAACTTAATACCCTCTCCTTTAAGTCCCTTATCACGCATGCTAAGGGAATAAGTGATTTAACAAATTTCTAACTTGAATTACTAGCTTTGTAGAACTATATCATTTTGATTATGGTAGTCCCTGAAGTTGAGGCAACTAAAGTTTAAAGTGTATTATAATAACAAATTACTAAATTTGAAGGACAGATAAAGAGAGAACAAAGGAAATAAAAATTTACGGTTTGATAATAGAATAGAATTGTCTCTTATTACAATTGTTGCAACTTTATTTTAGAGATAATTTCGTATAGATGGAAAATAACCTTCAAAATAAATGAGTGAAACAATTTTCAGAATGATTATTAAACACAAGCTTCAACTGTATTCCTACCTTTTATATGGAACAACTTTAAGAACAAAGTGGCTGTAGTTTAGTGGTAAGAATTCCACGTTGTGGCCGTGGAGACCTGGGCTCGAATCCCAGCAGCCACAACTTATGTCTTTTTTAATTATAATAATTTTTTTACAAAATTTTTTATTTAAATAATTTGTATATGTAAAATGTGTAATGATTTAATAAGGAAATGAAATTAAAATGTACTATTTATTAATTTTAATCATTACAATTCTGGATTAAATTTAATAGTAAAATATTTTAAATAATTAGTTTTCTCTGTAAAATATAAATTTAAAGTAGTGTAACTAGTGGAGTTATTTAATTATATATATGTATATATACTATATCTATATATATAGAAAGAGATGTAAAGACAAGTGATTAAAAAAATATTAGAATAATATTTATATTTTAAAACTAAATAATAATATTTATTATTTATATTCTTTCTGGTTTTTTAAAATATCATACTTTCTTGTTATAATTAATGGTTTCATATGTTTGAGAGATACTTACACCATTTTTTTTTCTAACTTACTTATATTTCTTTCACTTTTTTTCTTGACTTTTTTTGTTTAAGCTTTTAAATACTTATGACCTTTACATACATGTAATCCGAGCAAGTTGCAAAAGAAATTTAGGAAGAAATGAATATCGTATATTAGGAACTCGTTAATATTTGTTTTAGTGTATGACAATTATATAATCTGAATGTATATTCTTTATTAAGTAATAAGATCCAATTTTTTCAACATAATTAATATGTTTTTTTCTAAATTATGATTACTGTGGATAGATAAAATATTTGGTATAAAATAATACAAATTTTCTATAGAACTCTAAATTGATGATCAATATTTATTATATTTAAAACTTCAAAAAATATTTAGCATATATTTTTTTAATATATTTCATTTAGATTTAACATTTAAAAATGTTCCATACAAAATTTTATGTATGTATATTTGTTACATTGAACCCTAAACTCAAAGTTTGACTCCATCTGTCTGAAAAAAAAAAAAAAAACAAACATAGAAATTTTTGATTCCTACAAAATTTCGTAGAATATTTATAATTCTTGTTTATTAAGAAATGTATTTTTCAGCTATATTTTTTTATTCGTTTTATGAAATCTCTCCCATTAATTAATTACTTTTTTATCAATTATTTTTTATTTTTTTAATTATATTTATTATAGAGAAAAATAATAAATTATTAAAAATAATGAAAATTAATACTTATCTTAATTTATATAATTCATACTTAAATTACTTATATTTATAAATTAAAAAATTTTGCTAAACTTCAAGGGAGGTATTCATGAAATGAGACACTTATATTTAATGTTTAAGTGTGCCTCTTGAATAAAATCATGTCTTATTAAAAATATTGAAAGAAAGAAACTTTTAAGTACCAGATATTTATAATAGCTTAACATCTTATTATTTATAAAAGTTATTGCACATTAATGGAAATAAATAAGTGACAGAACCTGTTAAATATATCTATTCAGTGAAATGGAAGCTTCAACTGAATCACCTTACACGCAAAAAATGCACCCAAAAAATTAGCAAGCCATGGTAATATTGATTTTAGAGAAAGATGTATTTTATAAAATAAATTAAATCTCTGTGTGGCTGTAGTTTAGTGGTGAGAATTCCACGTTGTGGCCGTGGAGACCTGGGCTCGAATCCCAGCAGCCACAGTTTTTTTTTTTTTCAACTTTGGTAGATTCTTCATCAACCTTAACAATTTTTTTTTTATAGTTTAGTTTCGTCCAAAATGTGTTATGCTGTAAATAATGGTGAATATATGCTTCTAATCTACAACCTGTTCGAATAAATAAGAAAGGCCAATCAAGAACACAAGAAGATGCTTTCGTGTTGCAACGTGTTTTGGTTAAAACAACATTCCATCAAATGGAACCTTATACTCCGCCAGGAATAACTTTATTTCAGAGATTATTCATTCCACTCACAAAGAGCATGCTTCTCTATTAAGTTTCAGAACAATCCTCCTCTTCATCTGTGTATAAATAAAAAGGAGACTTTATGATGTATTATCACAAATCACTTCTGATATCTGAAGAGAGTTCATCACACAGTCCATATGGCAGACCTTCAACAAAAACTTGATGCTCTGAAGAGTCTTGTTGGAGTGCTAAATAGCATGGATGAGGGTGAAACCGAGCAGAATCCAACGCCACCCAATAGCAGTGGTGCTTCTGCGGCAGCAAGAACAGGAAGGAGTAGGAGTCGCTCTGTTGGAAAATACAACAACACTGGGAATCAGAAGATTAAAGGTCTCAGTAACCAAACTGGTTTCACCGAAGGCAATGCTAATGGAGCTATCAATTTCGGAGATTTGAATGCCTAAGTCACTCAAATTTAAGGAATAAGGAACAACCTACGTGATTATATATGTATGAACTATGAAGGTCGATGATGTTGCCACTCTTGAAATGCATAAATAATGTCACGTATATATAATAACTATATATATTTCAAATAAGAGCTTCGCAGTTTGCATAGCTTAGTTTGGTTTTATAATTTTATACAAGCATGATGTGTTCTTAGATTAGATTAACAGAAACCAATAATATGTTATTAGCTTTGTAAATCATTCATGGCCAATTTTAAAAATCGTCATTCTTTAATAGGAGTTTAGGACGTCAATGCTGTCTGGCACCAACGATTCGCGTTTCTCTTTTTGATTCTTATTTTTCTTGGCACCACCACTTCTTCTCATTATTCAAATTATTCATTATCTTAAAAACTAGGACATTTTTCTTTGATTTTATTCTAATTTTTAAAGAGATTTATTAAATGAAATAAGATGAATAGGTTTATGATAACTTTTGATAGTTGTATGCTGTAAATAAACTATATTTGATAAAAACGAGAGAAAATGACAAGGGGTTCAAATATATATGTTAACATCCAACCTAAAATTTTGGATATAAAAATATTTTTTAGAATAATTGAAAAATGTTAATTAAAATTAAAAATAATAGTATATATATTTAATTAATAAAAATTTTAAATAAATTAAATATTATTATTATTATTATTATTATTATTATTATTATTATTATTATGATTATTATTTAATAATGTTGATCATATTAGGTTATATTGAGTCTCGAATTTAAAATAAAAACCTGGTGGATAACTTTTAAAATGTTGGTTGGGATAAAATTATATTGAATTTGACTCAATAAAAAACATTTAGCTTAATTTAAATAAATCAAATGGTTTATAAATGAAGTATATTCTAAAACATAATAAATACTGTTTAATATTATAAATTTAACAGAAGTAAAGTAATATTTTAAAACATAAATTCACTAACATAAAACTTATTACTGGTTATTAATTTATAAGTTTAATTAATAAAATAATAAGCTAATATACTAAACAATTATTCTAGTCAAATAATTTGTTAATCTAGTAAAATACATTCATAATATGGTGACACGTTTCACAATGTTTTTCCTAAGAGAATAATAGAGATATTTATAACTTATTATTATTATTATTTATAAAAAAGGTAACATTTCACTACATTTTATGGTATAAAATAATTTCATGTTATAATAAATATTTTCACAGCTGTTTTTAGGAAAAAAAAATTCACAAACTAAAATTAATTTACAATTTTTTTAATTTTTTTTGAAATGATAATTTCTAGCATATGGAAAAACTATTTTAACTTATAAAATGAATTTTATTTATTTATGTTTTTCTTCAAGTATTTTTATCGAGAAATTTATCTAACTGTGCTAGATTATGCAGCTGTCAAAAATAGGGCCCACGGGTGAAGAAATATTCTATCTAAATTAATGACCTTTTAAGAAGTTGAACTATAAATACTTGTTTGTACGTGTCTTAGAAGCTTTCTTGGGAGCTTTACTATTTAAAAATAAATATATAATGTATAGATGTACATCTTTTTTTAGCTTTGTTTCTTAGTAGAGTTTTTTCTAAAGCTAAAATTTTGAACTTAAAATTGTATTTTTGGACAAAAGTGACTTATAACCTATTCACAACCACATGATTTTTTATAAAGTTGAACGAATTTTTAACGACCTTGCGAGAGGAAAAATGGAGTATTAAAGAAAAGAGAATAAGCGATAATGAAAGAGAAATAAAAAAAGCTACCAAAATATGCAAAGGGAATAATATAAATCTATCACCTTTGCATTTGTTCTCTGATCCACACAACTTTAATAGACATAGGAATATATAATCCATCTTTGTTCATATATATATATATATATATATATATATATATATATATATATATATATATATATATATATATATATATAACAAACTAATAATAATAATAATCAAAATTTTCGTCACTGATTGAAGTTGATTTTAGACTTATAAGTCGTAATATGGTTCTTGATTCTTACAAATATTTTACAACTTCTTAACGATTTTCCAATAATTTAAACGGACTGTTCAAGTATATTTAAAACACTATAACAACAAAAGTATCGTTTACACAAATGCAACCTTGAGCATGTTAAATTAACAGCGAAAATTTATGGAAATTTTTGCATATCAATTGCCTCTATTATTTCGAGGATTAGTAATTTTATTATTTATTATTTTTAACAATGTGGACAAGATGGAAACCTGTGATTGAAGTGAATGTGACGCACCACCTTGTAGGTTCATATTCATATTCCTCTGATAACTGTCTTTCGCAATTTCCATTCACTTGTCTCACCTAATGTTCTTATCCCCGAGTATATATAAGTGTAACTGCTGAAAACAAACTTCATAGGTAGGGTTTTCGTTCAAGAGATTTCAATGGCAGGTATTGCATCAGGAATCAGCACCCTTGCCCTTGGCTCCGGTGATGCTCGACGGCGATCTCTGCTACCCCAAGCTACTCCCGACACGAACACCACCGACAACAACACCGACACCAACACCAACACCAACACCACCGACAACACCGAAAACAGTGAGACTTGTGAAATATACGGTTATGTGAATTCTGCGCAGCAAGAAATCAAAGGTCTTACCAACCAAACTGGGTACGTGAAAGGCAACGCAAATGGGGTCATCAACTTTGGCACCTTGACAACCTCTGCTTCTAGGGCAGCCCAACCATGAACATCAATCCTCGAATAACACCAACCAACAATAATATTTACATAAAGCTGCAGGCAACTCAATAATCAACTAAAATAACCTATGCTGTTCATGTTGGTTATATATCGTTTTTATGTTTTACTCAGAAGCATCGTATAGTAGGGGAAAAATATAAAGGAATATGGGTGTACCACTACTATCTATATATGTTCAAAATTTTATAGATCTTCAATAAAATAAATAAATAAATAAATAAATAAATAGTAGGTTTGTATAATTGTTGTTTTGATACTTGGATTTAGCATCTATATATAACCACGTACAATTGAATTTTAAAAAATTAATAGTAAGTTTGCTATCAAGTTTACTCGAGGTGTTGGGTTATTTTAGTCCTCTTCTTGCAAGCTAATGTAATTAACTTCCAATGTTTTCAAAGATTTTTTTAGCAGAAAAGAGTTTTGACTTGATTGCATTTTGGCTCTCCTCCTATGATTCTTCATTTTTTTAAATTCAAAATCATCCTTTTTTGATATTGAAATTTTAGTTTACATCTAATATTTAATTAACATAATGAAACGACAATCTAGATATTACTCATCAGTTGATATTATGTTGCGATGTTAACATTGTGTTTTTTTTTTACAGCGATGTTAATATTGCCCTAAAATATTAGATATTAAATTAATGAATGAATATGGGGACTAAAGTTTACGGCAAAATTAGATCAAATTTATAATAATAAGAAAAAAATACAGGTAAACCAAAATGTTTAGAATAAATTATTTGAATTATTGCTTGTATAATTATTACTAGAAATTCTTATATTTTATGAAAATGTTTACGTATATTTTTTATAAAAATTTGTAAAACATAATTTTTCAATAAATTTAAATTGTAAGTATTTAAAAAAACGAAAATTGTAAAAGTATGGAATTAAAACTTCTTTTAACTTAAAATACCCCAACCTTAATATGAATGTTAATTTTTTAATTAAAAATGATAAGTATGTATTTTATTATGTAGTCGGTGATGCTTATTTTACTTAATTGAGTAAACTTTCAAAAAGTTAGAAAATTAGTTGTCATATATATATATATATATATATATATATATATATATATATATATATATTATAATAAAAAAAATAAGAGCAATTTTGAAATAACTTAACCCTTTGACATTTACTGCTTTTCAAATTTTAAATAAATTTTAAATATTTTTATGTTTTTAATAAATGACATTTGTTTTTTTATATTTTTAATAAGATGACTTTTTTTAACTAAAATTTAAATAAACATTATAAAAATTAAATTTTTTAAATTTAAAAATATCTTTTACAAACAAAAATGATAAAACTTTCTTTTCTACAAACAAAATAAACAAGTGTTGTTTTATTAAAAATAGAAAGTGAATGCTATGAAAAAAATTAATTAGTTTTTATTAAAAAAATATTAATTATTAAAAACTTGAAGGAAGTGAATGTCATCTAGTATATTAATAGGAAAATAAGAATAACTTTTCTTATGTACAAAGTGACCCATGCCTATATAACTTTTTAAAAGATTGAAAAATCAATACTAAAACTGATAATGATTTCTTTTACGTTTATTTTTGTTTTAGTTCATCCTAATTTTATTTCAGTTTAAAATTATAATTTATTTTGTTGATTTTGATATATATTTTAATTAACTATGACAATATTTTAGTGTAACGATTAAAACTAATACTAAATCTATAATAAAAGTTTAAAAGAAAAGAGACAAAAAGATTAAAATATTACTTTACTGGAAATTAATTTATAAAAAACAAAGAGAGGAAAACAAAAACAGCATAAAAGAGGATGTTTATAAGTTTACCTGTTCCTAAACTAAAGTAACTAAAAATAAAATAACAATATAATTTGGTGAACTTTGTTGTACTTAAAAAGTTTTATGAATCCATTTTTAATCGTTCACAGAAAAATGGGTATATAGCTATCAATGGAAAGAGAATAAGTTGATTTAAAAAAAAGTATAATTAAACAGCCATGATATCCTATTCTAACAAAATAATAATTACATCAATCTATTTTCTAATACATCTCATATTAATAGATTAAAATGATTAAAAATAATAAATCATGAATAACACTCTATTAAAAAGCTTCTCACAAAATTTTTTATCTTTTTAATAAGTTAATATTAAAATTTAAAAGCATACCTATCTTCTCACAAATGCAAGGAAAGTAACTCTATCACATTTGCATATATTCTCTGGTTCATACAGTGACACATCCATCATGAGTAACATTCTTGCTTTTGCTTTTGCTTTTGTTCGTCCATCTACATCTAATTACGTGAAAGCTAAGAATAAATCCTCACTATTGAAACGTTCTTTCTATCACACTTTTTTTTTTCAATTTAATTAAATTCTATTAAAAGCTTTTAGAATAGAAAGTCAATAAATAAAATTAAAATCCATTAAAATGAATGATTTTGAAAAGATTCAAGATTAAAAAAATATGCATATTGATTAATATAATAGACGATCAGTAATTAAAGTTAAGCACCACTTCTTTAGTGATTCGTATTCCTCTGAGTCACACATTGATTATCTTTGCATGCATTCACACCGATTAGATAATAATCCTCTGACCAACCCCGATCGAGTCTATAAAAAGGGTGATCGTAAAAATCCCCAAATCATTCTTACAATAGAACAACAAAAACCCTAATTTTATAGATAATAGCCGCAACATTCAATGGCAGGGATTGCATATGGAATCAGCGTCCTTGCCGTTGGCGCAGGTGAGGCTCCACGGCGATCAACACAACCTCAAAGTCAATCTTCTCCCAACACTTCCGACCACAACAACCGTAACCCTACGCCCTCTGAAGAGTTCGCGTATTTGAATTCTGCGAAGCAAAATATCAAGGGTCTTACCAACCAGACTGGTTATGTTAAGGGCAATGCTAATGGGGCCATCAACTTTGGGACGCTAAAAACCTTTGCAAGGCAAGCATAAGCATAACCATGAAATGTTGATGCAAAAATATATAGCTTGAGGCAACTCAATAATTAACTAAATAATCACTTTTGCTATTACCTTCTCCTGTTGCCTACTTGTCCTATATATTTTCATGTATTACTTGCCAAAGCCATAGTATGAAGAATAAAATGGGTGTGGATTTCTAAGTATATATATGGCCCTCTAAGTTTAAAATTTCATACATCTAATATTGTCATTAAATAAATAAATAGATCAAAGTTTTGTTTAGAAATACAATCATACTGTTTACTTTGATATACATGTCTGGCTAGCATATATATAACATTTAATTAAATTTTCAAAAAGTTCTTATATGCATTTGTGGTAAATATTTTTCAATGGTGATATAAATAATGTTGTCTTGCATTTTTACAAGATAAAATAAATAAAATAGATTAATAACAAATAAATTAAAATTATGTTTTCATTGTTTGGTTGATTAGTAAAAAATAAACAGAAAATATATGGAGTTCATAAATAAGTTTTCCATCCATATGTAAAACAAATGGGAGGTAGATCAATATTTTTAATTAGTCATTCACGCATTTGTAACCATTATATTAAAAGAATATATACAAATTATTTTATATATATATATATATATATATATTAATTAAAGAAGAGACTGAAATAAAAAATATTAACATAATATGATTAAGAAAAGAATTACATTAAACTATATTTGTTCTTAAATCATATCTGTGATAAGTTATTAGAATTCATGAAAATTCTTAAATATTAAATATATTTTGAGAGTTACTTATAAATTTTTAAAAATTATTTTGAAGTGATAAGATGAAAGTTACTTATATAGAAAAACACTTATTAAATTGAACATTTTTTTCTTTATTAAAATTTAAATTCCCTTCTCATAATATATTAAAGTATAAGACACATACTTCAATTTTTTACTCTTCACTCATTAATTTTACATCAAATAATTATTACTAAAATATATTTTACGTTATTATTCTCTCGCAGGTACTGTTATATCCTTTAACATAAAAAAATATTACATATTACTCTCTCTATATATATACTATGAAACATATTTTAAAGTAATCGAATTAAAAAAATAAAATAGTTTATACGTATTTGAGTAAAAGAAAGTTAAACACAACTATTAAGTTAATATTTATTTCATGTAGTATATTTAAACATATAAATAATTTGGTATTTTACTTATATGGTATTAATAATTATATTTGACTAAAATACACAACTCTTAAAATGTATATACAGTTTAATTATTAAAAATTAAAGTTTATATATTTTATTTTTTTATATTTAAAATTAAGAGGCTAACGTTCTTTAAAATTCATGTTAAGATAATAATAATATTTTCTTAAGATGGAGGCTAACGTTAACCAATGTTATATAAATTGCGACCATTAAGTTTATTGATTTATTATTTAATGGATAATGATTACAAGTTACTCTTTCAATCTTCTAAAATTATTCCTTTTAAAAAAATAATTAAACTAAAAAATTGTTAGTTTAATTTTTAATAACAATAGTTTAACTTTTACATCTTATAATTTTGATTTTTTTTTCAAATCTAACATCTAATTGAAGTAAATATACGTGATACTGTAACTATTATTTACCTCAATAACACACTTTTACTGGAAAGTATTAAAAATTAATAAATTTTTTAAAATATAACAATATTTATTAAATATAAATATATATTATAGAATTTTATTTCATATATATATGAAATAAAAATAAATATAATTTTTATATAAAATAAAAATATATTTATATAATTATATTATTAAAATATTTTTATAAATGTAATAAATACAAATATATTTAATCTATATATATGATAATATTTAAATAATTATTTATATTTTATAAATAAAATAAAATTTAATAAATATATATATTTATATCTTTTTAGATAACATTTTTTATATAAATAAATTATATATATTATTTAAATATATTTTTAATATAAAATAATTGTAGTAAGTATTATATTATCATATATAAATATTATATAAGTATATTTAAATAATATTTATAAATATATTTATAAAAGTATATATAAATATATTAAACATATAATTATATAATATATTTTTATTATATATAAAAGTATATATTTATATTTATTATATATTATATTTAATAAATTTATAATGTATATAACAAAATACAAATTTGTGTTTAGCATATTTATAAAAAAATATAAAAATATAATAAAATATTTATATATAATTTTATATTAAAATTATTTTATATTATATTAATAAAAATGTATTTATCATATTTTTATAAAAAATATTATTTTTACTTACTACAATTATTTTATATTAAAAATATATATTTAAATAATATATATAATTTATTTATTTAAAAAATGTTATCTAAAAAGATATAAATATATATATTTATTAAATTTTATTTTATTTATAAAAATATAAATAATTATTTAAATATTATTATATATATAAATTAAATATATTTGTATTTACTATATTTATAAAAATATTTTAATAATATAATTATATAAATATATTTTTATTTTATATAAAAATTATATTTATTTTTATTTCATATATATATATATATATGAAATAAAATTCTATAATATATATTTATATTTAATAAATATTGTTATATTTTAAAAAATTTATTAATTTTTAACACTTAGTGTGTTAATCGTGTAAATAATTAGATATTATTGAAAAAAATTATAATAATAAATGGGTTTTGAATTACTGACATTTTGATATTGATATTGAAAAAAGAATATATATAAAAAATTTTTATACTTAAATTAATATTAAAAATAAATTAAAAATATTTAAATAAAAATGAAATATAAAAAATAATAATTTTATTTTATAGTTATTTTATAAAAATATTTAAAATAATAAATTATATATATATTATTTAATATTTTAATAATATAATATTATCTTATTTATAATTAAATAATGAAATATATTATTTTATATATTATTATTATTATTATTATTAAATTAATATATATTTAATATGATATATATATATATATATATATATAATTTTTCTTATTTATTTCACGTATTTAATATTAAAATCTGTATAGCAAAAAAAAAAATCGATATTTAAAGATTTTGAGACGTTAAAACATGATCCTATTTTATACTAAACATGATTATAATAATTTAAGACCCAGGGTATAAAATTTAAGTATGAGGTTTAAGGTTAGAACAAGTGATCAACTTACGATTGGACGATGGCATGCTAATTACTCGAGGATTGGGTTTGGTCTTGCTTTCCTCTGTAGCAGAATTACCCTCTTATCTTGCTGATTTTAACTTTCACATTGTAGAAGATTTAAAAAACTTAATTCTCAATCAGTGGTTTGAATGACCAAGTGTTTCTGGTGGAATTTCGATCGATTTCGATTCTTAAGATATTTTGATCCTAATCAAAATTCTATCACGTAAGTTCTTTTTGCTTAGGCTAGCAAATTAATTTTCAATCAAAATGTGTATGAGGATCGAATTTTACCCGATTTCAAAGATACTATTTTTGGTGTTTCGTATTAAGAATACTCGAAGTAAGGAAAACAGAAAATATATGGAATCGAAAAGCAGTGCTGAAACCTAGATTGCAAAGAAACGTAAATTACGAAAATCTTAAATTTGCTTTAAGTATAAAAGACAGGGAATCGAAACAGCAACAATGTAAATACCGAGAAATCGAATTTGCAGGAAATGTAAAGGACATTAAATCAAAGGTGCAATAAATGACTAGAAATCGAAATTGCATTAATGTAAAATGACCAGGGAATTTAAACACGGAAACTTAACTTGCATTGAATCGAAATGACCAAAAATCGAAAATACAGAAACATAAAATTGCTGAATATAAATTGCATCAAAATAAATTACCAAGGGAAATAAAGAAAGCGATAAAGGTACTCCGTGAGCATGGAAACCCAGATTGCCAGAAGCTTCATGGTGTTCGTCATTTCTCCGGTAGACTTTTTCACTACTAATCCTGTTCTCTGCCAATTTCCACCCCCTTGTTCCTTCCTCCTTTGCTCTATTTATAGGACATCATTCAAGCCTTCTAGGAGCAGTTAACAAAACTGCTACCACGTTCTACGTGCATGTTGCAGTTTATCTTCTACAGTTTCCCACGTTCTCACAATCTTCGACTTCTATTATGGTTTAGAAACTGCTTCCTATATGTGCGTTTGACTATTCTTCCTTTCACGGTTTGGCCAAAGTCTCGATGTCCACGTAGGTTGGCTTTCTTCGCTTTCGATTTTGTGTTTTCGAGAACTCCAAATTGCTTACGATTCCTTTTTAACCTTGACCTCATATAACTCTAATTTCTTAGTTTTTTATTCGACAATAGGCATTTGGCTATCATTCACTCAATTCTCGATTGTGCTTCTCGATGTTATGTGTTACGTACTTCTAATTAGACATCAAATGGTTTTTTGTCTATCTTATCGATTTATCAATCAGTCACATATTTTCTCGCTTTTCTTTCCTTCGATTTCGATCGCTTTTTTCGATTTGCCACTAACAAAATGCCCCCTTGGAAGAATATGAATAGTTTCTGTTTATATTCTTTCAATATTCCCGCTTTAGTATTTGGAGGCCCACAGAACTTAGGGTTTAGGGTTTCTGGGGTTCTAGGGTTTAAGGGGTTTTAGGTTTCTTACCTTGCTTTTCTTCACCCTACCAGTTACTGAAATGGCAACTTCCTCCAAATCTTCTGACTTTTCCGTTCCACTCCTTCCCTCATTGGTATCGAACCTGCTGGAGATCAACAATCAGAAGTTCGCTCCAGTCCCTCTGATGGAGGAAGCTTCTCGGAAAATTGCTGAGACGCAGGTACTTATTCCTTACACTGCTGATGGTGTTAATTACACTTTTGGGGGTCCTCTTCGTCCTATTGATGGAATCTTTTCTCCCCTCAACTTCTCGAATAGTTCGGCTCTTGTACATCAACCTGAAGTT